GCCTTTAGTCCACCAACCTGCTTAGGTAATACGTTGGGGTTTAACTTTGAGCTTATCATATATAATGGAAGTAGAAGGAACGGATTTTGACCCCACCACCGAGGAAGGCCAAGTACACATTTACGACGAAGAATACGAGTCCTTGCTTCCTAATGACAACGTGGACGGACAAAGCCTTTTTGACAAGCTAAGACTCAAATATGGCGGCAGGGCCCGCGATGCTATGCGTTCCTTAAGAGACAAATTTAGGTCTAAGAATCCATACGAACCCATTCCAGAATATTTGCAAATGGAAGACTTGGGGCCAGTTCCTGAAGCTCCAGATGCCCAATGGCTTAGCAAAATCCAGGAACAGATGGATGAATCCATGAAAAAAGAACAACCGGACGACTTTGATAGGCTGGTGGAACTATTACCCGATTGGGATCCTAAGAAAGCAATAATGTTATTCGATGAAGACAATGAATGGGGTAAAGAAATAATCCTGGGTAGACTTCCAAGGAGCGGCTCTAAAGTCTACGTAATTAGAGATGAAAGAGGAAGGTTCTTTACCGACCCCAAGATTCCTAAGACATTGAGGCAGGCCATTGGGCAACCCAATTTAGCGATACAGGAGCAAATGTCCGAGGAGCAAACAAACATCGGCAAACAAAGGCTGTTCGCCGCCTTTGCGCGACTGCCGCCCGAAGCAGGTGGAAAGACAGAAGACCAAAAAGTCATACAACTTCAGCAGGCAAAAGGAACAATCGAAGACCTATCTGCGCTAATAGAAAGACAGAACGACGAAATTTCTGCCCTGGAACAGGAAAAGCTCGCGGCCATAACCTCCATTCGAAGGGAAAAAGACGCGGAAATAGAAAGGCTTGTGAACAGAATCAAAGGACTACAGAATGACGCCACGGGAGAAAGAAAACGACTAATTAACGAACTACAAACTGCAAAGAAGGAAAGGGACACGACAAACGAGAAATACGAGGCAGTTAAAGAAGAACTCAACGACGCTAAAGCGAGACAGGCTACGACAATGCAGTCCTTTGAGGAGGCTGTGGAAGTAGCAAAGGGGCTTGACGAAGCACTTGCAAATTCCGCCAATGCCTTCGCGGAAGCCGAACAGCATAATGTGCAACTGCGAAATCAAATTTCCCTTAAAGACGATCAAATTCGACAATTAAACGGTGCTGTTGAAGACTTAGAACATCACGCCGACGCACAGCGGGAAATAATAGCCGACCAAACACGCCCCGAAGAAGAGCGGGCAGCTGCAGAAAGTGAATTGGAAACTACGCTGGAAAAACTCGAAGAGGCAAAGACGGAACTTGGCACCGCAGAACGGGAACGGGGACTTACCACCAAGGAAAAGATAAAAAGAGCTCTCATGAAGTATGGCGTTCCGCTGGCATTTGCGGTTGCTATTTCGAGCGTAGTAGGAGTAATCCTATCGGCTCTTAAGGCTACGGGCGCAGGCGTAAAAAAACTGGGTTCTGGTTTAACGAACTTAGGGAAGAAAATGGCAGCCGGTTTACCTGGGCTGTTGGTTTCTGTCGTTTCCTTGGCCGGCGGCGAACTGTTGAAGTTCGTGGGGAATAACATTTGGATCTTGGTAGTAGCTATCGGGGTGGTCCTCCTGAAGAAGATGAAGGGTTGATCTTATCCTTGTGTATTACTGGGGGCTTATCGTCGTCAGGCATCCGAGGCATCCTGCTTTGAGGATAAGTAAAGACAGTGTTAGCCCCGCCTTGGTAATTTGGCACCAGGGGTAGGGCAGTCATAGTAGAAATGGGCTTATGATTCCAAGTAGCATCCGTCGGGGAATCTTTTGACGGGGCGGCATTTATCCGAAGGTAGGCAACGTCGTTGGGGAGAACTTGTAACTTCGCATATTGGCAATTGGCTATCATGTGAAAAGTTACCGGCGTTAAGTCTTCTGTGCTTAACGGTGGGGGCTCCGACGAGAAATGAACTGGGTTCCTATTATTATCTTTTTTTCTGTAAGGTAGTAATGGATGGTCATTCTCGTCAACGATCCTAAACCCGACATTACACGAATACCCCGTCGAAATACTAATAGTGCACATGATTAATCCCAGGCCCCCAACCTTCACCCACAGCCCGGTGTCAAGCCAATGCTGTTCTAAGTAGTCCTTCTCCTCCAAAAAATGTAGAAACCAATCTTCCTTCGCGTGCGGATTCATATATTTCAAGGATCAAAGATCCTTCTAAAGACTCACCACCGTAAGAGTGCTAATGGTCGCGTGGTTATAGATAGTATTCCTTTGATTTTCTATGCTATTTACCGTAACCTTTCCCGTATCGTCTATTCTTATCTGCAGCTTTACCTTCCCATGGCAATCAGCAACCATATGGAAAGTCCAAACGGATAGATTTTCAACGCTGCCGGGGTTGGGCTCTACGGAGAAATGCGCAGGCTCCCTGTTGTTCGTTTTCGTACGCATAGGCTGCAGTATGCCATTCTCATCTAGAAACCTAAAGCCGACGTTGGCATGGCTGTCCGTGCCAATGCAAATACTGCATATTATCAGCTTCTTTCCTGAGTAGTTCAGGTCTACGGACATCCCAGTGGCGTCAACCCAAGATGCCTGGGTGTATTTTTTCTCGCCTGTGTAAGTCGTATAAACACAATCTACTCCAGCTACGTAGGGGTTGTTCATCGCCATATANACACAATCTACTCCAGCTACGTAGGGGTTGTTCATCGCCATATATAATAACTCAGACCAACGCCTGTGGCTGCTAGGCCGGCCTTTAGTAGGTCATGGTCATATTCCTCAGGTATCGTAGGCATAACATGGACCTTCTTTGGGGCCGTGGGCTTGGGAATTGGTCTTTCTGCGTGTACCTTCTTTAGCTTCTCTACGAAGTGAGGAATGCCCTTGGTCATGTCGGAGTTCACGTCATTCACCCCAAACTTCATATCCTTAGTAGCTCGTTGAAGTTTGTTGTTATAACCCACAACGGAATTGGTGTTGATAACCAAATTACTTGGCATTAGCCAACAACCGGGACTCAAGGCGTAATCTAACCGCACTTTAGATTGCTGCACCGCTAATTGATATCTTTGCACCGATTTGGATATATCATTCTCTATTACTGCGGACTCAAATAAAGTTAGGAATTCCTGTTGCGTTTCCTGTGAAGCACCTTGGGATCCAACAATGAGGCTGCGGGTATTTACCTGCGCTCCTAAGATGCAGTACACAAATGCTTCTATACTGCGGTTAATTCGAGCTAGGTTTCTTAGGCCTTTTCCTTTTAATAATACAAATGGGTCCCATGGACTGGGGTAAATCTTCTCAATTTTCTCAATAAGATTAAGGTTCCACCTACTACCACCTAAATCTGCAACTCTAACGTACCTGGGTATTTCTGATGATACATGTCTGCAGGGTATGTTCCGGTCGGATGGTAAAGATAAATGATACCTAAACCATGCGTGGCACCCTCCCGATAACGAAAGTCTCTTYGCTGCGGCTTAAACTCATTCATTAGCCTTTCTAGGGCAGCGGAATCGTAGTGGTTATTCATTCTATCAAAAAACTTCTGCCCCGGCAATGGTACGTTAAGCTCCTTTAATAGGCGACGCATAGTAAAAGCCACATGGAACCTTAGAAAAGCAGTGTCAAACATGTCCACGGCAACCCCGCAGCCCTTCGTAGCCGCCCAAATTACAAACTTCAACTGCTGCGTCCAATACCTAAAGTTGGACCCCTTTAGCCATTCCCTGGCTTCTTTTCCTAAAGTGTGCGTAATATTGAAATCCTTAAAGATATTCCTCACTACTACGTCAAACGTTTGCTTGCCCACTGGAATTTTCAAATGCGTTACCATCTTATCAAAGTCGTTTACACCACCTTC